GAAGGGTTTTAAAAGGTTACAATTCACTCACATCATTCTATAGAATGTTTTTTTGTATAATTTTTATTTTTGTTGTTTACATAACATTTACTCTTGAGGTTTCAATTTGAAGTCACCTCTACTCTGTTTTATTTGCTTCCTCAGATGAAAATTGAGCTATTTCTTTTATGTGTATCAGTATATGTATGCTTGTGTGTTTTTGTCTCTGCTCTGATGCCCTGTTTTGGTTTTTATAGTGAAGTTCTTCATCTTACTGTTAAATTTGTGGTGAGTATATACATTTTTATGTACTTGGTTAAGTATATCCATTTATATATGTATTTAGGGTATTCATGTATATATGTTTTTTTGGTGTTTTTGCATCTTTGTTTTGATTTCCTGTTTTGGGTTATTGGGTTTTATGTCATATCTGTAATGGAGGTTTCAATTTAATGAAATTCAAAGATAAGTCAGATTTGTTGACTGTCTTTGACAATGTAATAGTGTTGTTTCTTTAAATTTGATTAATTAATTACATTTTTTGGAGCTTCAGAGTATGCCAGTTAGGGTTCCGAGCGACTTGAAAGTTTGGCACAAACACTAAATCTGTTTCCTCTTTTGATTTTTATGAATCAATTAGGTGAAGTGTCAAAAGATTGAAAAAGATGTCGTGACCTAGAGCGATAGAGAAGAACAATTCACTCCCAATGTTTGTTTTTGGACAAATTTGAAGTAAAGGAAAAATTGAATTTATGTATTTGGAATGGGAATGTTTATCTCTTGATTACATGTTCACATGATCCATTTGTCTTTATCTCTTTCAATTATTTTTTACTAATTTTATCCATGTGAAAAAAAATGGATTAAGAAATCCAAATTTGGCAAAATATACTAAATAAAGCAAAAAAGAGGTCCCCTGAAAGTAGTAGTATTTCCCCATTTCTTTATATCAAAACCCTTGTCAATAGGCTTGAATTTAGGAGAACCACCAACTTTTCTTTATCCTATCTTTCCATTGTTTCTTCCCCATTTTATCTTATTATTCTCAACACCAATTAAATAGGGGGGAAAACAGATCTCTTTTTAAACTTTCTTGTCAAACTTTGAATTGAAGACAAGTTGAGGCTTTTTAGGTGCTTCATCAAATCTAGGTCTTTGAATTTGTGAATGGCGGGAACTGTGTACCTGAAAACAGATAGGTTTGAAGTTAAGCTTGAAGGAATTGCATTCAAAGCAAGAGATGTTGAGCCTTTATGCACGATGGAATTCCTCTTTCCAAAGGGAAAGGTTTGGAAACATCCACCTGTTGTTGGCCTTGATGTCTTGCGCCACCCTCGGGATCCAAACATTGCTTTGTTGCTCCTGTGCTTTGGGACCGGTTGTGCAATCATCAGGTTTTATGTGGGGAAACAATTAGCCGATCCAATACTCAAATTTCTTCAAGACAAGAGAATTTCCTTTGTGGGCTTTGGAATTCCTGAGAAAAAAGATTTGTTCCCCTTTGATAAACTCGGATTGAAGGAAAGTGATGTTGATGTAGGTTTCTTGGCAGCGAAGCTTCTCAATGACCCAAAACTGAAGAAATACGAATTGGCAGACTTGGCTCGTAGAGTTCTTGGGATCAAGACAATGGTGGGTGTTACAAAGGCTCGATCTTTGGGGATGCACCGACAAATCAAATGTGCGATATGTGAAGTTTTTGTTTCTACCGTGATCTCCATGACATTGCTGCACCCAAAGCATGAGACTAATTTGGTGAATTCTCCTAAGAAAAGTTTGCTTGCGAAGAATTTGGACCTGTCTTCAATTTTCATTGAAAAATGGTCTAGAATGGCTACAAGAAGCAAAGAAAACAATGAGTCTCAAACTAAGGAGGGAAAAAATGATGTTCATGTCCACTGCACAAGGGAAGTGCAATCTTCATGTGATGATCCTAACAAGACCGGGGCTTCTCCGAGCAACAAGCCTTTGAAAGGAATCTTGAAATGTCTATCTCAAGGTTCTTCTCTTCCTCAATCTTGTTCGTCTCCACCCATTTTTGAGGGACAAAGTGGTTTTAATCTTAAAAGGGCCAACTCAAAGGGGCATAATGTGTCTTTTGGGGTTAACAATGTTGTACACATGAGTTAGACCTGGTGGTGTTGTTCTTTGTGTAAATCAAAAACTCAATTCACTTTAAAATTATGAACCCCCCTTTTTTTTCCTGTATATATATGGTAAGAGTCGAACCCCTAATCCCATCCCTCCTTACCCGAAAACATAATAATTTCGTCAACCTTGCTCTAACTGCTTCCAGGAAGGGGATTACATCTTTGAAATCTTGGTATTCATTCATTCAGTTTCTTTCTCTCTTACCCTTTTCTTTTCTTGGTGTTTGGGGGAGATGTAAATGACATCATTCACTATTGCTGTTTGATTCGTGTAATGTAATAGTCATGCAGATTATAAAATTTCCTATGTTATTATATTTGATGTTGTGATGTTTTTGAATTGTTATTTACAAAAGAAAGACATCTAATATAACAAATGACAATGAAACTATGGTGCACACAACCTGATGAGAATGTCAATATCATTGAGTGGTTCCCTCTGCAGCTGAACAGAGGTCTTGGGTTGCGGCTTTGTTTCTTATGGATTGATAAGAAAACTTACACGGGACACATTTTAAAAACATGTTTGAATTTATAATTATGAATGCCATGTTTTAATATATAATTTGTGTTATATAAGGTTTATTTGTCAAAGGGGAAAAAATCTCAATAGATATGTCACCATGAGAGTTAGGGTTTTTCCGAATTTTTTAATCAAATTCCCTTACATCGTCGATATATAGAAGAAAAATGTGTGTACAGATTTAAATTCAAACATTAAATAAAAATGATAGTTTCATCCACAGTCATTACGAGTTAGTTGCTCAAGTAGCACAATCCTAATAATTTATACAGGATAAAATTGTCAAATTTTGATTAGCTGTACCAATGTGGGTTGACTTGACAGATGAAACGCTTTCTTACTAGACATGATGTTTGAGTTTGAATTTGAGTTTCACTATCTTCTTTGCTTCAAAAAAAAATTAAAAAAATAGAGGTAAATATTAAAAGTTATTTTATTTTATAACATATAAGCAAAAATACAAAAGAATATGATTGGTACGTAAATTTGAAAGGAAAAAGTCTTCACGACAAAGTTGGTATTTAAAAAAATGAATAGTATTATGGAGCCATCTTTTATTTTTCATACTTTCTTTATATTTGGAGGGTGAACCGTTCCTTCTCCCAAATAGAGATACCTAATGTATTGTAAACATAAATGTTGCGTTTAAATTATGAATTTTGATAGAAATTTAGAAAAAGAATGGAAAAACACAAGTAAAATATCAATAAAATATAATTATATTTCATTTTTTTTTTCTTTCTTTTTTCTAAATTTCTATTAAATCTATAATACAAACACAGATTAAATGACTCAATTCGTGAAACGAGTATAGTCAAATTGATTTTTTGATGGTAAGTTTTTTTTTTTTTCTTCTGGAAAAATAAAAACAACAACAACAACAAACTAAATGCTCATTTCTTTTGTTTTTCCAATTCCTCATAGTTTAGACTCTAGTTGTTGGCAGGTACGAAGTTTTTATTTTGAGAATTTCTGGTTAATTTAGAAGTTGGGTTGTAATAAACTTTTTCCAAATTCTTCTTTTCTCAGTGAAATCTGAAGAAATTTAACTTTAATTTTAACTTTTCAAGAGTCTCACTAAATATTTCCAAATTTCATTGCACTCTTGGAAAAATAGGCAGAATTTCTTGCGAAATTACCAAAAAAATAAAAAAAAATTCTTCCATTTCTTATCTTTCTTCCTCCCTTCCTTTCTTTCTCTCTCTCAAATTTTTTATTTTTTTTTATACTTTAAAAAATATGAATTCGATATTGACATTTAAAATTCCAATGTGCAATTCAATAACGTCACCACTGATATCAAAATCATATTTATATACATGCAGACTCTAACACACACACCTATATAACAATGCAACCATCTCAAAACCAAAAATTCAAAAAGTTTTAAAATTTCGCATTAATGATCAAGATTCACGTAATTCAAAATTCATGACAATTTTTTGAACAATTTTCTGGAACATAGCTTTTCTGTGAAGTCGCTAATTTGGCAATAGGAATAGTATTAGCAGTTCGTAACACGTTACTACCTAATTGATGTTGACTTTTCATATTCATCATCAAAAAGCATTAATCTATCTTTCCAAGTCATAAAATGAGTCATGTTCCCACTTCACACACCTCTATTGTTGGTATGTCTCTGTTGTCAATTGAAAACTGGGCTCAAAGTCTAATTGCCACATCATCCCTTAGAGCATACACATTTTCATGAAAAAATGGCATACTGTATTTCTTGAAAAAAAATTGTATATGGTAAACAAAACTCATTTGTTGTCTATTTTCATTAAAAAAAAAAAATTACAAATTTATTAAATTATTGTAATAAAAAGAAGAATCTTATTTCACCTTTATTTTTTTTTTCAAAAAAAAAATAATTCTTAATTTCTTCAATCTCTCACTACATCAACCACTCCCCACATTTGGCTACTATAGCCAACCATTGTTTTCTAGTCGCTTGTAATCACTCTCAGACACTACCAACCATCTCTTGATGGCAACAATCATCTTTGGCCACCATCAACCATCTCTAACCATTGACAATCACTTTTGACTTCTACCTCTCACTAGAAATCACCTCCAACCAAGTCACTACCTATCACTCATTTTCAAAATACATATATACCAAACATAATTTTAATTCTTATTTTTATCAAAATTAAATATAAATATGTGTCTAATATTTTTATAAAAAAATAAGTAAATAAATTATAAACAGTATCAAGTGACATAAATTTTCTATATAATTTTTGTTTGCTTATTCTATTCAAGCAACAAATTGTAATTAAATATTTATAGTTCCCACTAGTGGCCCCATATGAATTGGGAATTTGAAGGGTGCAAGTTGTCTCTGCATCTCCCTCTGCAAGTCAACGGTTGTTTTGAATAAATCACAACCGACATGCACTTCGCTTCCAAATGCGGATTTCATGATCATAAAAGTATAAAAGTGGATTTCATGATCAGCAACTCTTCCACTGTAATGAGTTAGCAATCAAAGAAGAGAAAAGCCCAAACATGATTTTCCAAAAGGAGTACCTTGATTTGGTGTTAGTACCAAGTGGGTTGCTCCTCATGTTTGGGTACCATCTCTACATTCTCCACAAGTACCTCCATTGCCCTAACACCACAATCTTTGACTTTGAGTACAATGACAAGAAAGATTGGGTTGATAAAGTCATCAAGGCAAGACAATCTCCTCCTCCTCCTTTTGATGACGAAAAATATTTTCTATTATTCTAAACGTCAGAAAATGCAGAAAACATTTTTAAGTTGATTTAACATGAATTGGGTTATTTTTGCAGATGCCAAAGAAGGATAATGCTCTAACCGTGCTTGGATCCAACACAAACGCGGCAACTTTCCTCGCATCAGTCTCTCTGACTCTGAGCTCTCTCATCGGCGCATGGATCGCAAACAACTCAAGCATCTTCCAAAGTCAGTTGATCTACGGTGACACAAGATCATCCACCATGTCTATCAAGTATATAAGCCTCTTGATATGCTTCATCTTGGCATTTTCATGTTTCATTCAATCAGCAAGGTGTTTTATCCATTCAAACTACCTTCTGAGTGCTCCAGATAGCAACATACCTCTGAAATATGTGGAATTGGCAGTCACAAGGGGTGGTGATTTTTGGTCACTTGGGCTTAGAGCTCTCTATTTTGCCATTAATATGTTGCTATGGTTTTTTGGGCCTATACCCATGTTTGCTACCTCAGTGGTGATGGTGTTGCTCCTCTATTACCTGGACACCAACACAACTTTGTTGCATCGACTCAAATATCCTGAGAAGCGGTCAATTCACCTTTGAGTACCTCAAGAGAGGGGTTAGAGATCCTCTGTCCCCAAATATCTTTACTTCCTGTCCCAATTCATTTATAATCATTAGATATGTTTTGAGATTTTTACACATTAAAATTCTCACATGATCTAATGATTATAATGGATTGCGACATGATGACAGGAATTTAGAGGAGAGCATCTCCAGCCTAGGAGATGTAGAGTTCTATTTATGAGGTTTGAATCACTCTCTTATTTTGCTCAATTTGTCTAAATTAAATGAACATTCAAATTTATCAAGTTCATGTCAATGAAAACATCAAATGTATTTTCTTGTTTATTGATGCAATTATGTGTACCTATATTGTCAAAAAGGCATTCCCAATATAAATTGGGATTTAAAGTAAAATACCAGTGCTTTGTTGGAGTAAACAATATCAACAAAATAATAATAATAATAATTCTAGGCCACTGAAAGGTGAGGAAGTTTACCATCATCTTCTATACCCTTCTTTTCTGCATTTTGGAGGACTGTTATGTATCTCCCAATTAAATTTTTTTCCTGAAACTTGCCTCTTACATGACCTTTTTTTTTTTTTTAATGGTATTGTTCATTGATTATTTAAAAAAATATAATGAATCTTAAATATACATATGAATTTATTACATAAATATAGAAAGCTTAACAAATATAATTTTATCTAGGCCACTGAAAGGTGAGTAAGTTTACTAAACATCTTCTATACCCTTCTTTTCTGCATTTTGGAGGACCGTTATGTCCTATTAAATTTTTTTCCTGAAACTTGCCTCTTACATGACTCTTTTTTTTTTATTTTTTTATTTTTTTATTAATGGTATTGTTCATTGATTATTTTAAAAAATATAATGAATCTTAAATATACATATGAATTTATTACATAAATATAGAAAGCTTAACAAATATAATTTTATATTGTTTTGGAATGGTCTACCTTTTGACTTGCTGAATAATATGATTTCATTATTAAAAGCTGGGTTGCAGATCCAAATAATATACAATTTTTTTCCCTTAGAAGCAACGTCTTTCATAATTTAATTGAATTGACCTATTCAATCATATCATTAATGGATCATGATATTAGAACCGAGAGCAATTCCTACTCATCATATTTAGGACTAGTTTGGGGTGTCCTAAAAAAGTATATTTTTTGTCTTTTTGAATTAAAAAAGACAAAAAAAAAATATGGAGGTTTGGGTTAACTTTTTGACTTTTTATGAAAAAATGTGTATTAAAAAATTGTATAAAAAAAAGTATTATTAATTTTTTTGGATCTTAGACCATTTGGATTAAAAAAAACCTTCTCTCGGGATGAGCTGAGTTGGCATAGATGGGTTTGCCAGTTTTGAGTCAAATTTGGTATTATTATTACTTTTTTTTTGTTACACAATATGATGCTTGTAAATTAGTAGAATTAGAGCATCTCCAATGCACTAGCCATATAATACTTGTTAGTTAAAATACCTAGTGTGATTCATTTTTTTCAATTCCAATGCACTAGGCATATGATTAGGCATTTTGGCTCAACTCATATTCACTAGCTACATGTAGCTAGCCTTCAACGCTAGGCAAAATGTATTCAATCATTAGGATCATTTCCCTCCATCTTTGTTGTTGACGTGACATTCTATAAAATTAATAGTATTTGGATAAATAGGTAAAATAAAGAGTATGGTTGGAGTAAAAACATAAAACAGTTGATAGGCAAAATAAAATATATATTTTATAGTAATATTTAGATAGGTAAAATACCTACTACCATTGGAAATGCTCTTAGACATGAAATTTCACAATGTCATTTTTTAAAAAATCTTTTAGTAGTCTAATAAAGAAAGGTTTTTTAAGTGATTGCAATAATAAAATTGGTCTCAGGATAAGAAAAAAACAGAACGTATATATCCTCACCAGATATAAACCTTTGAAAAAATAAATAAATAAATCTATTTAACTAGTAAATGTAGAGTGGGAAGAGAAAATCATGTTGAAATAGTATTAAAATAGATCAAGCTTCCCTTTAGTCTATGATTTGGATTAGGTCTTGCCCAGGCTCGTGAGACTCAGTCTGTTTCGAATCTCAGTAATCCAAATTATTTATTTTGTTGAATCCTTTACGTATATTATCCGCATAAAAAATTACGTTTATTCGATAATCATAATCTAATCAAAAAAAATAAAAATAAACGACAAGTGTATTTTGAAAAATAGATCCTTCATTTTTTAAACAAATTTGAGAATAAAGTATAGGTCCAATCTCAGACCAGACTAGACTTGAAAAACTACTCGATGTCCCGACCCAACCCGACCCATGTCCACCCCTGCTTTGCCATCATAAGCTCTCATTGCAGACTTAAATATTGGAGCACCCTCCCACTAAATATCCCAATTTTGTGCTCATCTACATCGTACCATCGTCAATCAGTGTGATCAAATTTTTCTCCACTCACCTTCATTATTGCAAAGACATATTTAAAATGTCTCCACTTCAGTATTAGTTTGCAGTTCCTTAACATCATATGTTCTATCTTTCTCTTTGGGCCCAAGAACATATCTTAAGAATGATCTGGGCCACAAGGATAAGAAAGAGTCAAAATCACATATCTAGTTTTAGAAACACTCTGACTACTTAAGAAGAGACCAACATCAATAGGATAAATTACATTTTTACCCTTTATACTATGTAATTTTAATTTGAACAATTTAGTTCATATATTTTAAATCCAATTTCAATTTGGTTTTTCTATTCAAATTTTTGTTATTCTTTTCAATTTAGTTCATCAATCTAATTCTATCACTAGACACCGTAAAAATAAAAGAAAATTGTAAAATCTCACTTGAAAAATTAGACTTTCAGTCTCAAATATGTAATGTGACATTAATGTAGAAACTCACTTGAAAAATTATAGTTTTAGTGCCAAAAATGTTATGTGTGTCATTTTAATCCAAACAATTACACATTTAACATATGTTAACGGAGTTTGCTTGAGGACTAAATTGAAACAAATTTTATATGTTAAAGACTAAATTGGCATAATTAAATGTTAAAGATTAAAATAACATAAATCTTATATATTGAGACCAAAAATAGAAGGGCCAATTACAATAAATTCTCTTAAATTATGACTCAGTTGCCTTTAACCTCCTGAATTTCAAAACACAAAAGATAACTATCTCGAACTATTAGCTTATTACACTTAACACCTTCTGTTAGAATTTTGTTTCGAGATTTAAACGAATTCAGGTTGTGCATGAATCACATTACACACTTATTGATTTTTTTAGAACAATAAAACCCTTTACTAATTTTTTTAAGATAATAATACATTTATCTAACGATCTCATTTACACTTTGTCTCTCTTATGTTAGTGGTAAAATGCAAATGAGATTACCAGATAAAAGCATTATTGCTCTAAAAATTTAATAAATGTGTTATATGTTTTACATATGATTTGAGTTTGTGTAAACCCTTAACAAAATCCTGACAAAAAAGAATTAATTATAATAAAATAATATTTTAAAATGATTAATTATTAAGTTTTAAAGTTCATGCATGTAAAATGAAAATATATCATAATTTAAGAAAATTTATTATAATTTATCCAAAAATATAAGGGCAAATTATATTAAACCCCCTCAAATTATTGGCCATTTACATTTTACCCCCTCATGTTTTAAACCTAACAATTACCCCCTCAAATTATTTGAATTTAAACATTAAGTCCTTTTATTTGTCATTTGTAAGATATTTGGATGCAAAATTATCAAATGTAGTGTACATGATGATTATATTAAATTTGTACAAAAGATAAAATAGGATAATTTGGTTATAAAATTTAATATAATTATCATGTGTATAGTACTTGATAATTTTTTGTTTAAATATCTAACAAATGATTAACAGAAGGATTTAATATTCAAATTTAAATAATTTAAGAAAGTAATTATTAGGTTTAAAATATTAAGGGATAAAATGTAAATGATCGACAATTTGAAGAGATTTAATATAATTTGTCTAAAATATAATTTATCCAATTAAAAAAGTCCTGCTATTGTTAGTAGTGGGGCAGCTACAAAAGTGGAGGGTGAACCAGGACTAGGTCAGAGTAAGAGAGTCATTGGCTACAGTTCATGAGTCTGGTCAGACAAACACTGGGAAGGAGACACATTAAGATGATCTCTAGGGTTGGGTACAGCAATCCAAGGGCTCACATTGCTTGGAAGAGAGATATCTCAACACTTTTACCAAAGATTGCCAATTTAAGTTACATAGCCATTGCAGGGAAATGTACTATTGCATGCAGGCTTCCTTAGTTAATAGCCAAAGAAGAAGCAAAATTCATTACCCTTTTGGATTCATGTCCTTTGGTTTAATCCCTCCATTGGATGGTAGTTTTGTTTTGTGCATTGGATATGTATATGTATCTAATGAAATAATGTAATGTTTACTAATGGGTTAATCATTGATTTATGATGAAGTTATAAATTTGAGTGAGGTGAAAAATTAATTATAAATTAGTGGAAAGTTATCTTTTTTATTATTATTTTTTTTAATATTGCAATAGAAGTGAGATGAAGAAAAAAATATTTTCAATTGAATGGAATCTTTTTTAAATTGACCAAAATACATCTCATTCTTTCCTTTCCTTTTCATTCTCTTCCTGCTCCCTCTCTTCTCTCTTCCCTTTCTAGGGTTTGGAGAGGCATTGTTTGGTAGGCATGAAAGAGGTGGGATTGCTAGGGATTTGAGGACGGTGACAATGGTAGTGGCGATGATATGAAAGGGTGGATGAGGGATTAGAGTAACAGAGAAGGATTTTAAAGGGTTGTTTGGGGTGTTCTAAATAAGTGTATTTTTTGTCTTTTTGGACTAAAAAATTGAGGAAGAAAATATAGATGTTTGGATTAATTTTTTGACTTTTTATGGAAAAATGTGTAATAAAAAATTTTAAAAATTGGTTTGTAGGAGAAAATTAGAATTGGGAGTTGTGCAGCCGTAATTGTTGACTTTTGATGAATAGTGTTAACTTTTTAACTTTTTGAGTAACTTTTTGACTTTTTGATTTTTCCTGAACATGCCAAACTTGGCCTAAGTCTTGTTTAGTAGTTAGAAATTGTTGAGGAAAGAAAAAAAGAGATAAAGAAACAGAAGGAAAGAGAAGAAGGTGTGACACTTAATTTGTAGTAATTTAATTTGTAATCTCCCATTGATTTAATTTATGTAGTATTTACTCAATAAATTGGTCCCATTTGGTATCACATTGAAAGTTTTTGATTTTGTTTTATGCATTTTCATAGATAAAATTATGTAAACCGTTATTAACTTAAGTATATATATTATATCTCTCATACATTGTGATGTAATTATTACAAGTAA